TTGAAGGATTTCGGCGTACGCGCGCGACGACGCGCGCGTCTGCACTTCGTTCCATTTTTTGCAGAGGATTCCCGCGACGGCACACGCGCAAGGGCGTTCGACAGATTTCGACATGCGCGCGCGACGCCCGTTTGGTAGCATGTTGTGAAAATATTGAAAAACCTATTGTTTTTTTTTAAGATTTCGCAAGAGCTCGCGCGTAAGCTTTTTTAGCAAATCAGTGTTGCGAAACCATGTGTTTATGCAGGTTTTTGGGGAACTCGATTGCGAAATCTTTCCGGCACCGAAGGTTTTTGAAGGATTTTCGGCATGCGCGCGCGACGACGCGCGCGTGTGCACTTCGTGTCTTTTTTTGCAAGGGATTCGCGAAAAAGTGTTATATTAGAACAGAACATGTCGCCGCATAGTGCTTTTTACAAGGGAACCGCAGGGGGGAACCCGGTTTGGCTGGGATGCTACGGTTTCATATTTAGAATGGACGAGTGTGCAGAATATATATATATATATATATATATATATATATATGTGTGAAATCGTATTATCCCACGGGGAACTGATAAGTCCGGGGGGGGTAGAATCTATAAATCTTTTAGAAAGGAGAATATAGATAGACGTATGAGTATATATGTACATCTATACATCAGATGTGTGCAAGCCAGCCTATGTCGTGCAACATATGTGGTGCAGGCTATGTAGTGCCAACTGTTCGGAGCGGGCGTGCTAATCTACGCGGTGCAATCTATGTGGTCCGAAAAGGGGGTTGCGAATTGCGCAGTGCAAAATACGCAGTGCAATTTACGTTGTGCACTATATATGACGCAAACTGCGTGGTGCGGACGATGCGGTGTAATATATAGATGTGTGTATTGTGTAATGTTGTGTCATGCCGTGTAAACTACGTAAAGCAATATACGCGTTGCAATATATGTTGTGTACGTTACGTGGTGCAATTAATGTGGTGCAATTTCAAAATGTTGCCAACGTCTGCAAACGATGGCACTGCAATCGAGTACACAGCACATATTGCACTGCAACGAGGGAGGGTGCAACGGGGCGGAGGCGACGGGCGGTGACGATGCGGCGACCGCGACAATAAGCGCGGCGACCGACACCCAAGCGCAATGGAGCGGTGACGGACGGCGGCGACGGGCGGCGAAGGCATCAACACGCGCGGCAGCTGACACCCAGGCTCAGAAGCAGCGGCGACGGGCGGCGACGGCAACAAGCTAGCGGGTCCGCCACCTAGGCCCAGTTCTCCTTTTCCAAAACAAGTAAGAAGCCCTACGTGCAAGCACTGCTTCGGGAAAACGCAACACAAAAAGCAGCACATCAACGCCCAGCAACACATAGCAACGTAAAGAAATGAAGAGGAAGAGCGATGGAAAGTAGCAAGCAATTCAACGCACTGCCAAGCAAGGCACAGCAACGCAAGGCAATGCAAAGAAATGCAAACCAACGCAATGCGATTGCAATGCGATTCAATGCGACTGCAATGCGATTATAATGGTATGCGATTGCACGTCGATTGCAGTGCAATGCGACTGCAGCGCAGCGCAGTGCGATTGCAATGCTTTGCGGCGACAAGGCGGCGCCGACGACACTGCGACAGTCGGCGACGGGACGGCGACGGGGCGACTACAAGCCAGCCAGGGCGGCAGACGAGCCCAGTTCTTGTAGAAGCCGTTCAAGCACAAAATCACCGCAAGGCAATGCCCAGCAACACAAAGCAACGTTAATAATTGTCACAATGCAGAGCCATGCAAAGCAACGCCAAGCAACGCCCAGCAATGCTAAGCAAGGCAAAGCTATGCAGAACAATGCAAAGCAACGCAATGCGATTGCAACGCGATGCATGCCATTGTAATGGTGTGCGATTGCACTGCGATTGCAGTGCAATGCGATTGAAGTGCACTGCAATGCGAGCAGCGCAGCGCAGTGCGATTGCAATGCACTGCGGCGACAAGGCGGCGACGACGAGGCTGCGACGCGCGGCGACGAGCAACAACGGGACGGCGACGGGGCGACCACAAGCCGGCCGGGGCGGCAGACGAGCCCAGTTGTTTTTACAGCCAACTCAGGATCTTCAGATGCAAGCATTGTTGGGGGGAAATCGCGCCGGATATGTTCACGTTCCGCCATTTTCGGCACCTGGACGAGGGGCGCCGATACGGGGGGGAGGGAATGGCTCAAGGGGGGGGGCGGGGGCAGCATCGACCCCCGATCGCCCATGCCTCGCCGATCGGGGCCCAGGTGCCCCACCCTGCCCACGACCGTAGGGGTTCTCGATTCCGGGCCTGGCGCCGATCTATCGGCGATGCATCGTCGATTCCATGGCAATGCCTCCTGCTCTCAGGCAGTCCCCACTGTCGGTTCCCCTCAGGACGCTGCCCGAGAAAGATTACCACAAGTACACCTTCCAGCCGAGCATCCCAGACAAGCACTTCAACATCGGGCACTGGAACTATGCGCCGATCACCATGTGGCTCCGCGCCCGGCGCCCCGCCATGGAGAAGGTTCTGGGAGATTGCTGGTCGACGCTTACGTGCACTGCCAGCGCAGTCTGGTCCCCCATCGGCGGGGCCGTCGCCAAGAACTTGCCCGGTTTCGGCTACAAGGTGCTAGGTGTTGTCGGGGCTCTGCTCGGCTACAATATTTTCGTTTCCTACGTGACGAACCAGACAGAGGCCTTCATGTTTTTGGAGAAGATGCGCCTGTATGCCACTGGGGACGAGCTGGTGAAAAAGGGTTTCTTCAAGTCGGACGCTGAGGAGGCCGACGACCGAAAGCACCAATTCGAGCACGCCAAGGGACACCTCGAGGCGCTGTGGGAGACGGCCCTCGCGGACGCCACCCAGACGCGGTCCTTCGACAAGCTGTGCTCGTACCTGGAGGTGAACGAGAGCCACCCCATTGACCTCCCGAAGCCGATTTCGTGGCGTTTCAGCATGATGCCGTACGGCCGCGACGACCCGGATGCCAAGACGTTCAGCTTCGCCGACGTGGATTCGCCCGCTGCCAGCAACTACTTCCTCTTGGACTTGGGCAGCACTGGTGACTACATCGACCGCCAGGACAACAAGTCGAACCCGATCAGAAAGGGGCGCCACATGTACACGGCCGCGTACATGCCGCCGACGAAGTGAGACCGCGAAGTATAATCAACTCCTCTCCCTCTGTCCCGTCGTGCTGGCGACCCTGGGCCGGTGCTCCCGTGCGCGTCTCTGGTACAGAGCGTCGCCTGACCCATCTCGACATCCTCGGGTTCCTCTTGCTCTCCTCTCCAGCGCCCCAGCCCCTCGCCTGTAAGAGTAGGGACTGGGGGGAGGTGCGGCGGCCCATCATTCCTGTTCCCTTGCTCCGCCTCCTCCACTCCTCTCCAGTCATCCCCCAGACCTCTCCAAGGGGTCCCTTTTGACCAGGATTCCGAATGGAATCCAGCCGTGGCGAGGAGAGGCCTCCATGAGGCCTGGACGAGAAATTGCCGAACACCTCGACCTTGGATCTTGAACCTCGACACCTGGCGCGAAGGTTAAAAGCAGCCCTGGCCTTGGAGGGGTGCCCTAATGTTCTTCGCGCTCGGGCTCTCCACCACGGAATGTCCTTCGTCCATGGGGTGTCTCCATCGGGCCCTCTGGCGAAGGAACCCGTGCTCTTGTCCCATCCTTCCTGTGGCAACGTTTCGGCCCTTGCCCCAGGGGCAGACGGGAGCCGGCGGAGGGAGAAAAGCGAGACGGGGCGGGCCGGGGGCGGGGTGACGTCCAGCCAGTCTCCCGAACTTTATCCCGGCTCTCGCCGTGCAGTGGCGTGGCGAGCCGCTCCACGGTGGGACCTGGCCTTGCCTCCAAACCCTGGGCCCGTGCCCGTGCCCTTGCTGGCCAACGCCTTCCTCGTCGCAGGTCTGCCGGCGCTCCTCGTCGCCATTATGCCAGTGCTTCCTCGTCGCCTCCTCGTCGCAAGTGTCGCATCCAGGTGCGGGCGAGGCAGCCTCTTCTGGGGCAGTGCCAGTGGTACGACAGTCGACGGCAGAGGTGGCCGCGTGCTTGTCCCTTCTGCTCGGAGGCGTGGCCCGCCCGCGGGTCTGGGCGATACCCGATACCCCCCCCCGGCCCCGTCTGCCCCCCTGCTCTCGGATCGGACGACAGAGGGCGTCGCGGAATCTGCTGCATGCAGCTGGTTTCGGTCCCGCTGAGGGGCCCAGGGTCTCCTCCGGCGCCTGGAGGCGCCGGGGAAAATCAGCTGCGTGCGCTGAGTCGCTGACCCCCCCTTTGCTATCCCCCCCTGCCCCGTCTGGCCAGATGCTCCGCCAGGGTCACGGGCTTCGTCCGCGCCACTCTCCCCAGTGGGGTGGGGGGGCGGGGCGGCCGCCCTGGTGGGCAGCAGGGCGGCGCGACCACGTCGACCGACAACGGCCACGACGACCACGTCTACGACGACCGTGATGACGACGACGACCACGTCAACCACAACGACGGCGACCGCGACCGCGACAAACGACGACGACGACGACGACGACGACGACGACGACGGCAGCAACGACGCACGCGTCGCCATCGTCTTCGTCGTCATCATCGTTGTCGTCGTCGTCGTCGTCCAATCGTGGTCATGGTCGTCTGTGTATGCACTTGTGCCTGCGCCTGCGTTGTTGTCGCCGTCGTCGTTGCCGTCGTCGCCGCCGTCTTCGTCATGGTCGTCGTCGGCGTGGTCTTCATCTTGGTCGTTGTAGTGGTCGATAATGGTCGTCGTCGTCGTCATCGTCGCGTTGGTCGTGGCCGTCGTCGTGGTTGGCTGTCGTCATCGCCATCTTCATCATGCTGGTCTCTGGGGGCCCGTGTCGGCCTCGGGGCCATCATACATCGATTATCCTTGGCATCGCTCAGACGTTTGCATGTCTCCCATCGGGGACCATCGAGGAGCATCATGGATCGTCTTGCGAAAAAATAGCGCACGAAGCCGAGAAAATGCACGGGGAGTGGCCGTCCGAGCGCTGGCGGGTATCCGGAATGGCGACAGTGGCCAGGGGGGACCCCGGAAGAGGTCCGTGTGGGGGGCCAGGGGCGGAGGCTGAGCGGGGAGCAGCAGGAGGGAAAAGGATCCTGACGACGGGTACCCTCTCGGAGCTGGTTGGCTGGGGAGGGCGCGGAGGACGAGGGAAATGCGGAGAAGGCGAAGAAGAAGAGCGTTCAGAGAAGTCATGACGCGAGAGGGAAGGAGCAGGGGAAGCAGGAGGCAGCGGGAGGAGGGGGAAGAGGTTGCAGCGACGGAGGAAAACCGGGGAGGAGGCGGAGGGCAAAAGCACGAGGAGGACGATAAGGAGGAGATGGAGGAGATGAGGAAGAGATGAGGAGGATGAGGAGGGAGGACGAGGGATACGTGGACGAGGAGGATTATAATAACGAGGATCATGAGGAGTACGAAGAGGGGAACGAGGAAGCGGATAAGTAGATGTTGGGAGGGAAGAGATTGTTGAGGAGCTGGAGGAGGAGTCTGAGTGGGTGCCAGATGTCATGCCACGCGTACGGAATGTGTCCTTCCTATCCTCTTCGCCGGCCTGTGCTGGCTGGCACAAGCATCCACTCTCCTCCTCCCTCCCTCATCCCCCCTGCCTATTGCCTCCTCCCACGTCCCTCCTCCCTCCTCACTCTCCTCCCGCCGTCTTGCTCACCACTCCCCAAGATCCTCCGCCCTCGCAATCCCTGCCCTCTGGCTTCCCGGCCCGCCGGCTCTGCTCGTGCACTTTCGAGCTCCGAGCCCGAGCCGGGCTTCGCCCGTCGACCGAGGTGGGGTTCAGCACGCGGCACTCCGCGCAGACGTCGCTCACCATGGGGAGCAGCTTCGCCAGCCAGAGCGAGGCACCCGCGCAGCCTGCGCCTTCCGTCGAACACGATGGCGCTGCCGCCGAATACATGAGGCACGCCAACTGCGAAGCTGGTCGGCCAACGGGTGCCCCACGAGGACGTCTTCTCTCCCGATGGGTCCGCAGAGCCGTGGGGCACCTTACGAAGCGCAGGGTCGACAAAGGGTACGCCCCTAGATCAGACAGTGCTTGCGATTCAGGTTTCTTGTTTGCCTTTCATGGAACTGGGCTGGTGTGTCGCCCCGGCCGGCTTGTTATCGCCCCGTCGCCGCTTCGTCGGCGCCAGGCTGGTGTGTCGCCCCGGCTGGCTTGCTGTCGCCCCGTCGCCGCCCCGTCGCCGATCGTTGCCGCCCGTCGCCGCTTCGTCGGCGCCCGTCGCCGCCGCACCACCACATAGACTTGTCCACAGAGCTTAAGAATGCACCATATATATATACATATATATTCTCCATTCTTAAAGAGGAATGGACTCTACTGCCCCCCCCCCCCTCGGAGTTAACGATCTCCCCTGGGGTATTGCGATTTCATGTTTATTCTACACACTCGTCCATCCGAAATATGAGTTCATACTATCCCAGCCAAACCGGTATCACTCCCCCCCGCCATCCTCTGCAAAAATTACTACGCGCGCACTCTCGTTTATCAGAAACCATAAGTTTTCAAGAATTCCTTGCAAAAATGTGACGAAGTGCGCACGCGCGCGTCGTCGCGCGCGCATGCCGAAATCCTTCAAGATCCTTCGGTTTCAGAATTGGAGGGTGAAAGTGGGGGTCGGCCGCAGGGTCCCGGCAATGATGTCTTTATGGGCCATGAATGGGCGATGCATCCTCGATTGTTGTGGTCGGCGGGGGAACTAATGGAAGCCCCCCGTTTGCACCCATGCGCGATACTTGAAAGGAAAGGAAGCAAGGGGGCGGGGGGCTCGGGAAAGGCAACGAAGGCAACGTGCGCTGAGGGCGCAAAAAGAAAAGGCTGGAACACACGAAAGCGGTCAGGTGAGTGTCGAAATTTGCCCAGCCAATCTGACATGCGGAACAAAACGCCTCAGCGTTGGGGATCTCGAAGGCCAGGGCAAAATGTGAATTCACATTGTGGGGGAAAGCAAAATGTGAATTCACATTTTGGGAAAAAGGAAAATGTGAATTCACATTTTGGAAAAAAGGAAAATGTGAATTCACATTTTGGAATTTTGTGTGGGATTCTTTATGAAAGGGGCCAGAATGTGAATTCACATTTTGGGAAAAAGGAAAATGTGAATTCACATTTTGGGAAAAAGGAAAATGTGAATTCACATTTTGGGAGAAAAGTGGGCCCCATTCCAAATCTGTCTTGGGGGTCGAGAAGTCATCGTTTGGGAACATACACGATCATCAATCGCACAATCAAGACACACTTGCACTCCACTTCGCTGCCCCACGCGCAATATGCAAGAACCCCCGCGCGCATGAACGATAATGGATGGGCGGCGCGTGTGCCCGCGCGGGCAACGCGCGGGCACGAACGACTGGCCCTCAATGACCGCCAACATTGGATGCCAATCGTACCCGTTCACATACATGAGCGATACACTGAGCATACATGGGCCATTCAGCCCCCATTGAAGACCCCCTGTTGCAGACCCCCTCTTTCATCCTCCAACAGAAGGATTTCAAAATCGAGTTCCCAAAAACATGCAACATGGTTTCGCAACATCGATGTTCTAGAAAAGCTTACGCGCCCGCTCTTGCGAAATCTTAATAGAACCATAGTTTTTCACAATTTCCAAAAAGTACTACCAAACGGGCTTCGCGCGCGCATGTCGAAATCTTTCGAACGCCCTTGCGCGCGTGCCGTCGCGAGACCCCCCTGCAGAAAATGGGACGAAGTGCAGACGCGCGCGTCGTCGCGCGCGCATGCCGAAATCCTTCCAAAAGCCATCGGTTTAGGAAGGATTTCAAAATCGTGTGTACCAAAAACCTACACAAACACAAGGTTTCGCAACACGGATTTTCAACAAAAGCGTGCGCGCGCGTTTTTGCGTCGTCGTCGTCGCCGTCCTCCCTCCTCCCTCGTCGTCGCCGTCGTCGTCCTCTGTCTTTCCTCGTCGACGTCGTCGTCGTCTTGGCGTCGTCGTCGTTTCCGTCGTCGTTGTCGCCGTGGTCGTCCTTCCTCCCACGTCGTCCGTCGTCGGCGTCTCGTCGTCGTCCCTCCTATTTCGTCGCCGTCGTCGTCGTCGTCGTCTTCCCATTTCCTCCCTCGTCGTTGTCGTCGCCGTCGTCGTCCTCCCTCCTCCATCGTCGTCGTCGTCTTCGTTGGCGTCGTCGTCGTCGTCTTCGTCGTCGCCGTCGTCGTCGTCGGCGTCGTCGTCTCTGGCGGCGTCGTCGTCGGCGTTGTCATCGTCGTCGTCGGCGTCGTCGTCGGTGCCGTCGTCGTCGTCGTCGTTGTCGTCGTCGTCGAGGTCGTTGGAAACGTCGTCGGTGTCGTCGTAGTCGTTGTCGGCGGCGTCGTCGTCGTCGTTGTCGCTGTCGTCGTCGGCGTCGGTGTCGTTGCCAAGTGCCAATTGGTACCCACCGTAACGGTCTGAAGAGGTCTTTTGCACGAGCAGTGGATGTTTGCACGAGCAGTGGAGAGGACAGCTTCGGCCCCGTCGGGCAGGGGTCACCGAGCGCATTCCACTACTCGCAAAGTGCCTACTCGCAAACGTCCGAAAACACATGTCTGCCTCCATGGCTGATCCGGGCCATTTGCGAGTAGTTACTTCGCCAGTAGTGGAACGCGCTTGTTCTAAGAGGGGAGGGTCAGCAAAGGGGCCCGGGGAGACAGACCGCTCGGCACAACGTCCAGGATTCCAGATATTGTTTGATGTTTCCTTGGTATTTCCTCTCCCCCTCCATGTCCCATCTTTGTCCCACATTTCAATGGAAATCCGCGTTCATGTGTGCGTGGTGCAGATTTTGTCCCTCCTGAGGGAGGAGGGGTGCGTGAGGACCAGCGGGGGGGGGCAGGGTGGGAGGGAGGACCAAGGATCGAGGCTTCACTTCGGAGGCCGCGGTCGCTCCAGGGTGAGCCGGCCCGCCAACGCCCACGCTCGACAACACTTGGAGGGTGTCAAAAGTGACTCTGGCGCCCCCTTCCAGAGACTCTCGACTTTTCGAGTCGGCACGCTGATTCTCCGAGGAGGTATTTTCTGTTTTGGAATTCTCATGTTCGGCAATCTGCAATCGAGGGCATGATTCTGACTCCTCATGCTCGGCTTGTTCCTGCAACAGCGAACCACGTGAGCAAGTGATTGATTCTCCTTTCTAAAAAGAGAATAGACTCTACCCCCCCCCGGCGTTCGCCGCCCCCCTTTCGGGTATTTGAATTATATATGATTATGACAACATGTCCATCCGAAATATAAATTTACATTATCCCCGGGGAACCGGTATCGGCCCCCCCTGAGGTTCCCTTTGTTCGGCTGTTGCCGCGCGTGCAAGTATTTGCGCACTGTTGTGTTCCGTGCTGGGCGTAGTTGGGAGCGCCTTTTCCCCATCGGAGAGTGTTTGCTGGGCGATCTTGCACAACAGAGGCAGTTTGAGTTTGCTTGTAGAAGGAAGGAGCAAGACGTCGCTACATCTCCAATCGAGCATGCGCGTCGCCTTCGTCGCTGTCGTCGTCGTAATCGTCGCCGTCTGTATTCCGTACTCGCGGAGGTAACCGTGCGAAGTAGAGCCGTTTCAGTTGTGGTGAATTCGTTATAGTGTTGCCGCGCATGTAATTATGTACGCACTATTGTTCGCCGTGCGGGGTATTGTTGGGCGCTTGTTGCTCCCAGCGGACAGTCTCCCGTAGACGACCTTGCTCGCGGGAGGAATGTTTAGCATCTTCGTACACCGATGGTAGTACAAACCCACAAGGCTGCGTTTCCAAGTGTCCGTAGTGACCCCTCGGGACCTTAGGAATCCGAAGGATCCTGATGGGCTCCAACATTTATCCTGGCGAGCCCTACGAATCATGAGGAAACATGAAGAATCTTTTAGGAATATTGAGAATATGGGGAAATCCGTAGGAACATTGAGGAAGCCAAGGATTCCCTAGGAGCCCTTAGGAATCTGAGGGGAACCCGAAGAATTCGCACGGATCCGAAGAGAATCCTTGGGAACCCTACGAATCCCAAGGACTCCTCAGTAATCCTAGGGGAGCCCGTAGATTCTCACATTTTTTTAGAAATTCTTGGGAATCGCGCCCACGTTCCCCATGGGTTCCTAGGATTCCGACCCTGAGGAATCTTACGAGTCCTTGGGAATCCTTGGGGAACCTAAGGGAATCCGAAGAATCCGTGGGAAGCTCCACCAATGTTTAAAAATCATACGGATCCACAGGGATCCTAAGGGACCGCTAGGGACCCATAGGAACCCATAGGAACCCCAGCAAGGGCCGCTGGGGGAGACGAATTATGTTCCAAATCTTGTGTTCGGTCCAAGTCCGTCAGTAAGCCCGCGCAAAACAAACATGCTCACAGCATAAGAAATATGAAAGATCTTTCGAGGTTACGATGTTGCGAGGTTTTGCTTTGAGCCGAGCCTGATCCTCGGCGATCAACAGTCTGACTGAGACCACGCGAGGCCAATTTTTTTATTCGGTTCAGTTTCCCGTTATTATTAATATAGTTGGTATCAGCGTTTGCTGTATCCACGTATTGTTCACATTTGCCGTGTCCTTCCTCGCATTCGCAATATCAGTCGCAGCAGTATTCATAGCAATATTGTGTTTCTCCGTCGTCTTCCAGTTTGCAATATTATTGTTTGTCTTCACCTCGTTAGTATGCTTCAATTGTGCGCGATCATGTTTATTGTACTTCTCACCGTTATTTTCATTAATGTTGTGATTGCGCGTGCTGATACTATTGCTCCTTCTCTCTCCCCCCTCTGCCTCCTCCATCCTCCTGGTCGGCGTCCCGCTTCTCCTTCTCCTCCTCTTCTTCGCTATTGCCTACTTCCCCTCTCCCATTTCTCTTGCCCCCTCCATCTCGTCGTCCCGCCTCCCCCCCTACATGAACTGCCCGCGGCCGCCGGCGCCCCCCCGCAGGCCCCGCTGGACCCACCAGTGCTGCCGCCCTACAGGCCCCACTTAAGGGTTGGGCGCGCAGAGAGTCCAAGAGCAGCTTCTCTGTCTTCCTGTCGCCTCCTCCCGCGCCCTTTTCCTACTTTTCCCGCCTCCTCCCTCCCTCCCTCCCTCATCCTCCTTTTCCCGCGCCTTCCTTGCTCCTCGCCCTCCGTTCCCTCTTCATCCATCCTTCCTTCCTCTGGCTCCTCATCCTCCCTCGTCGTCCCCTTGCCCACATGGAGGAGGACGACGACGGGGACGAAGAGGGGGAGGCGCGGGAGGGGGACAAGGGGGTGGTTTTCGGGCTGTCTTGGATGTGTGTGGGGCCAGCCTGGGGGCATGTTAGGGTTGTTTCGGGGCCCTCTTGGGCCTTTTTTTCGGATGTCGGAAGCCCGAAGTGGCGAGAACGCTAAAACGAATGAAAACATGTGATGACTTAATTCATATAATATGGTGTTGGCCTTCTGGAGGTCCTCGGAGCCTGCTCGGGGCGTCTTGGGGGCTGTCTGCAGGGCAGCATAGTGGGCTGTATTGGGCCGGTTTGGAGGTCATCATCGTGGCTCTATTGGGGCCACCTTGGATGCCGTCGAGGTGTCTTGGGACCATTTGGAGGGTCGTCTTAGGCATATTGGAGGCACATTGTGACGGTATTTGGCGGAAGATCTTTGCCTCCCACTTGTTTCGTATGGTTGAGATGATGCGCCGAAGACCATTCGAAACCTTTCGATCGGAGGTTGGGGGGTGGGATCGAAGTGGAAAGGAGAGCCCCCCACCGGGAAATCGGTTTTGGTTTCGTGTTCGTGCGTGCCGTGCGTGCGGGCGAGGCGAAGCTGCGTGCGCGGGCGAGAGGAAAGTCTCCTGTGGCTGATGCACGGCCGGACCACATGATTCCCCCCTGGCAAACGGGGCCGCGCGGTGTCCCGCCAGTGTCCCACCGGTGTCCCGGTAAGTCTCCTGTGGCTGAGGCGCGGCCGGACCACATGTTTTTTCCCGACCGGCAAACGGGGCCGCGCGGTGTCCCGCCGATGTCCCGCCGGTGTCCCGCTGGTGTCCCGGTGTCCCGCTGGTGCCAAAACGATAGTGAGACCGATGGTGAAATCGATTGCGAGATCGACTGTGAAGTCGATAGTGAAATCGATGGTGGGATCGATCGAGTGAGATCGATGGTGAGATCGATTGTGGGATCGATAATGCGAGCGATAGTGGGATATATAGTGAGATCGATTGACTAAGATCGATTGTGAGATCGATCGGGTGAGATCGATAGAAAGATCGATAGTGATATCAATACTGAGATCGATGGAGTGATATCGATAGTGAGATCGATACTGAGATCGATGGAGTGATATCGATAGTGAAATCGATCGTGGGATCGAAAACGAGATCGAGAGTTGGCAACGCGACAATATCTGAACACCACGGTTCCCAGTACGAACGTTGGCGGGACAGTGTCTTAAGGGTCGTTCCAAGAAGCTCCCGGGAGGTCCCAAGAAGCCCCCAAAAAGCCCGAAAAGGCCCCCAAGAGGCCCCCCAAGAGGCCCCCAAGAGCTCCCAAGGAGTCCAAAACACGCGCCCAAACGGCCGCCCAAACCCTTGCAACATAAACGAAAGAATTCATTAGTTCGCTGGCTGGTTCCCGGGGGGGAAATGGTAATCACCAAGGCGCCCAAGAGCGAAGGGTGACGTAAACAACTCGACACCAAGGCTCCCAAGAGCGAGCCCGAAACGCAACGACCTCTGAACACCAAGGCTCCCATATCGAGTGGGATCGATAGCGAGATCGATAGTGAGATCGATCGAGCGATATCGACAGTGTGATTGATCGAGCGAGATCGACTGTGAAATCGATTGCGGGGTACATTGTGAGATCGATTGAGTGAGACGTTGAGCCCCCCCACCCCCTCAATTCTTGACGCTTCGCGTATCCCCACCAGCCCATCCACAATTGATTGCCAGTTTTCTTGAGGCCTCTTGGAGGCTATATTGAGCCATGCTCGGCTATCTTGGGCCACTTGAGGCTGCCTTGAGGCTTCTTGGAGGCTGTCGGAGGCTATCTTGAGCCACACTTGGCTATCTTAGGCAATTTTGGAGGCCATCTTGGGCTATCTGGGGCTCTCTTGGAACCATCTTGGGCCAACACGGGCGGGGTGGAGGGTCTGTGGGAGAGGCTGGGAGGCCTCTTGGGGCCATCTTGGGCCCCATGGCTCAAAAAGAGGAGGTCTCTCAATTAGTACTGCCCCCTCGGAGGCTCAAAAACGGTGTCTTGGGGCTCTCTTGGGGCGTTTTTGGGCGCCTCTTGGGCGATCTTGGGGCCGTCTTAGGCCTTCCTGGGCCCCTCTTGTGGCTCTCTTGGGCCATCTTGGGGCCATCTTGAGGTCCCAGAGGCCCATCGGACGCGAAAAACGAAAACGCCAAAAACATTGATTTGCCATGGGTTTTTGAAGGGTTCTGCCGTGTTGGACGGCGCCGTGGAGGGCTCGAAGGGCATTTAGATCCGTCTTGGGGCTGTCTTGGGGCCTCTTGGAGGTATGTCGGAGGCTATCTTGACCCATCTTGGAGTACCTTGGGCCATCTTGGTCATTTTGCGACTTCGCCTCTTGGAGCCAACCTGGGCCGGCTTGGACTCTGCGGCGCCTCCGTCCCCACCCCCCTTCCAAGTCCAGGGGAGGGGGTAGGGGGAGGGGCAAACCCTTCCCCCGAGCAGGGGAAGGAGGGGGAAGAGAGAAGAACAAACTCGCTATACCACCGTAGCCCCAAAGGGTTGGCGGGACCCTCTTACCATTCAGGGATTTCGGCCCAAGGCTTCTGTTGCACTCGGCGCGCCGGGGGGGGGCCGCGAACGCGCCCGCTTCAGTCGCGCACTTCCTTCGGCCTCGCTACGAGGGGCCAGGCTTTGCCAGCTGAAATGCTCGACAAGAATGCGAAGGCGCTGAAGAACATGAACGCCCAGACGGCCAAGCGCGCCAAGTGGCATGTGAAGGCCCTCGGCCCGAAGGTCCTCGATTTACACGTTCACAGCGAGGAATTAAAAAGTTGAGGCGCAGAGGTTCAGCTGCGCGCTGGCGCCCCACGCGCCCGCGCACCACATGCTCGGCGCGGCGCCCTTCAGTTTCCAGAATCGGATTGCGGCAGTCGAAGCCTTTAGAAAATTCACGGGAGACTCCGCGCGGGAGCTCCAGAACCCGAGCTTCGACGCCCGTGCGTCGGAGCAGACGTCGTTCCAGCTCCGGCAAGCGCCGGCGCCCCTGTTGAACGGCCTGGACGCGCAGCGCGCAAAGCACGACACATTCGGACGGCTCCGCCGCCACTGCGCCGAGACGGTCCGGACTCTGGACAGCGAAGTGTCGGGGAGTGGCGAAGTCCTGACGCAGCGCTCGCAGCGCGCGCGCAACGGGTTGCAGTTCGACGCGCAGGTCTGGGATCTGGGGCAGCGTGCGCGGGCCGAACCACGGGCGCGCGCTTCTGGCCATGCCTCGCCAGAAAACGCCGCCGTCGCCGTTCGCATGGGCGACGGTGATTTGCATTATGTCGATATGTCGCGACGGTCGCGACGGCGCCGGACGCCCGCGCCAGACTCTGCCGCCCGCCCGCCCCCGCCGCCCGCGCGCTCGGATGCTCGACCGCGCGGGGCCGGAGAAGCAGCTAGCGCGCGCCACCCCCGAGGGCCTCCCAAGAGGCCCCGAAGAGCCCCCCAAGAGGGCCAAAAGACGCGCCCAAACACCCCCCCAAGCCCTTGCAAAATGAACGAACTAATTTCTTATTTCGCTGGCTCCCCGGGGGAGGGGACTGGCGCCAAGGCGCCCGAGAGCGAAGGGCGACGTCGACAACTCGACGCCGAGGCCCCCAAGAGCGAGCGGCAACGCAACCATCTCCACCGGCACCGCCAGCGCCACAATCACCACTGCTGCCCATTGCTGCCCCCCCCCCATGCCACCACCACCGCCACCGCCCCGCCCCGACCCCCCCCCACCACCCGCGGGGCCGCCGTGCAGGCATCAAAATTATGAACAGAAGCACGCCAAACATCTCCGCGATCAACGAGGGGCGGCGGATCGAGCGGCCATCTGCCCATCCCGCCGCCGCAACTGGGTTGGCGGTCAGAGAAGCATTGGGCGCCCGTTTGGATTTGCCGGGGTGCATCCAAGGGCCATCTCTCGGAGCCTCTTCGAGCCCTCCTGGAGGCCTGCGAGGGCTCATTGGGGGCCTCGCACGGGCATCCTGCCTCTCGAGCGCTTCTCGGGAGGTTTTGGCGGCCATCTTGGCGCGCGAGGGCTCGCGGGGCCAGTTCGCCCCCCCCCCCCCCTCCCTCCGAAGCCGAACGCATTGAAAAGCATATGGTTTGCTGCGGGCTCCTCGGCCACTTGGACCGGTCTTCGGGCGGTCTTGAGGCTTGTTGGAGGCTTGATAAAGGCTAGCCCCAGCCATCTTGGATTATCGCGCGCCGCCCTGCCGGGGGGTAATTTCGGGGCATCAGGGGCCGTCTCGACCCAGAAATGCCCCGGGATAGGATGCCACCCAGCACGGCGCAGCAGCCGCGCATCCGAGTGGGCGCGCAGGCAAAGCAGACGAACAACCAAACGCTGCGTCGAGCGGCGGCGACAGGCGAGGGGGCGCGGCCAAACGCCGGCGCCGAGCTGAAGGTGATAGATAACGACGAGGATAGATCAAATCAGCCTTTACACCACACGGCACACTGAGTGCGCCCATCGCTGTCGCGGGCGGCCTCTGCGCCTCTGGCAATCCCATTATTTAGGCGTGCCGTCGGGGTTGCATGCCGCCGGCCTCGCCAATGGCGTTGCGCCGTAGGAAGCGATATTCTTGCAAAGCTGGATCTGCCGACTGCGCAAGATGTCCGACAAGGCTTCCATGCGTGATTTCTCAAGAAGGGCGGCGTTAGATTCCCGTGGTACGCACGCACATGGAATGCCCAATATCTTCCTAAAGCATCTACATTGGAAAACATCAATCCTTGATCTGCCAAATTTCAAAAGCCATAGGAAAATAATTGCAGTTCCCAGCGCGACGCCATAGAAGTGCGCGCCCAGATTTTGTTCAAATCGCGAAACATGGCGCCCGATTCCCCCAGCCTTCGAGATAATTCATTCCCGGCGCGACAGTCGCCAGGAATCAAGCCCCCCAGGTGCGCGGTTTCTCTCGCTGTTTTGATTGGATTCCCATTCGGCTGCCGCAATGCGCCCGCAGCAGAAATTTGGATTTGCACTGCGTTGCCCCAGTTGAATTCCAAGCCGTATTTCTGCCCTCCTGAAATAATTGCGCCCAATACAAGTGGCAAATTCCCCGGGCGTTTGGAAAGCAGGAGCGCGTCGTCAGCGCACAGGATGCCCCCTGCCGCGACATGCGCGGGTTCTTCCAAGAGAGGCAGGTTGTCGAACGCATCGTGCAACATCACTGATTGAACCCCAATGGAAAAATATGGCGATAAAGGGCAGCCCCGCGCAATTCCTGGAGCCACTGGATGGCCGACAGTTTCTTCTCCGCCGCGCTGCGGGCACAGCGCAAATTGGAACGCGCAGCGACGGCTGCCCGTCTCAGCGCAGATGGGCTGCTCCAGGGACCCCGAAGACCCGCTGGCAGCGCCGCTGCAGCGAGGCGCTCCGGATCCAGGACACGCCAGGCCTGCGCCGCCACCTGCGGAGACGTTTGGAACGTTGGAATTTGCAGATAGTGCCGGGGCACCGACCGCAGCGAATGGAGGCCGCGCTCTCCTGCATCGGGGCCCCAGTGCCACCTTGCGTCTGGGCAGCATCGCTCAAAGCATTATTGGGCGGCTGGACAACGGCTGCTTCGGGCGGGAGGCCTTCGCAGTGCTTGTTTGGCTGCCAGAGTGGGCAGGACGTCATAGCGCACCATGCGCACTGCCCCTGCGTGGCGCAGCTGGCTCGCGCGCGTCTCCGGCTGGAGCCGGCGCCAGCCGCTGTGCGTCCGGGTGACTTCTTGCTCCTGCACGGCCACTCCGGGGCGCGGCGCTTGGCCCTGCGGGCGCCGTGCCTGCGCGCCACGTTCATGGCCGCGAACGCCGCGCGCAGCGGGCGGGCGAATGCCGCCGGCGACGCGCGGGCGCAGGTCATGCTTGACGGAGCGGCTCGTGACGCACCGCTCACCGGCATTGTCGACACATTGTGGAGCACCTGATATTTTCCTTCCAGCGCGGCTGCCGCCGTCTACTTCCACCGCTTCGTCATCCACCGTCTCTTCTGCACGGCGATCGCACCCTGATTGCCCCCCCCTCCTCCTTTTTTTTATTTGCGAGACTGCTTCTCACGCTCCTGCGCTGGCGCGGAGTGCGCGCGGTCGAGCATGGCCCCACCCGCCCCCCAGGGCAACCAGAAATGTTGCAGACGAGTGCAGCTTATCATTCTCTCTGCTCTCGCCCCCGCCCCCAGCGCCCCCCCCCCCCCCCCGGCCTGAGGAGGCCGCGCGCGGCAGCATCGTCAGTGCTGCAGTCTTCTTGGCTGGCTGCCGCTAGCGCGACGATGCCGCAATTTTGAGATTGCTGACGGCATTGATTTCGGGCTTCGAATTGCTGCGATTCCGCGGCTGGGAAGCCGCACGGGCGCCGCCGGCGATCTACGCCGCAGGCCTGGCGGCCGCGAGTGGCGGCGTCGCTTTCTGGACGTGCTGTTTGCTGATCGCGAGCCTCGCTAATGGGGCCGCAGCGCGCTGCTTCTGCGCGTCGCTGAGGCAGCGCGCCGCGGCTCCATATGGGGGGCTCGGCCTGCGCGGGAGTTCCCCTGGTCCGCGACGACGGACCCCAGGCCCCCCCCTTAAGGTGCACGGCGCCACACTTCCGCCTGCCCGCGTTCAGTCGTACCAGTTGTTGCGACGGTGCTGCCCCTGGTCCGCCCCCTCCTTCCCTGCTCCCTCTCCCAAGCCATGCCGGCCTAGGGGCGTGCGTGGCGCTGCGGGCATCTGCGCGCCCCTGCGATGACGGGGCGAGTTCGCGGTCGCTCATGGCCCCCCCAGTCCCCAGGGCAACCTAGGGGGTTGCTGCCCCAGAGAGATGTCATCGACAGGCTGCCCAGTCTCTCCAGCCGCTCCCCTACAGGGGGGCCGCCCCGAGCCCGCGCGCGCGGCGCCCTCCCCCTTCTTCTCCCCCCCCTTCCTTCCCCTCCCCGCTTCCGCCCGGCATGCCATTACTTGTGCTCAGCAGGTTGCGTCCGGCAGCCCTCCAGCGCGCCGCGGATTTGCGGCTCCGCTTCTTCTGCGCTGTTTGCGTTGTAATTCCCGGCTTTAGTCTCCGCGCCTGTCGTTTGATTTCTCCTCCTGATCCCCCCTCTTTCTTCTTCCGCTTTCCCTGGTATCGGCGTGAAAGCTGTAGGGTGATCCACAGCGGCCGCCGGGCCTCGCTCCGCGGTCGCTCTTTTAAGGTCGCCGGCGGCCTTGCGTAGTTCTTGCCTGGCCAAGCTGTGAACCGTCGCAGACGAAGAGGCCCCTTGAGGGCACGGCGGGGTGACCATAAGCGACTTGCGCAAATCAGCTGCATCACGTTGCCGTTGGGCGGAGGAAATCCTGCAAACGGTCTGCGTTCCGACGAACGCCCGCTGCGGGTCCACTATAGTGATGCACCTGTCAGAATAAGTCTATCGCATCGCCTACACCATAGCAGCTGGCAGGCCAAATTTCCCCAACGCATCGCAGAGACAGCGTGGATTCGAGCGATCAAATGCTTTTGCCCAGCCCAACAAAAGTAATAGATTACCATCGTTCTTACTTGCACGCGCTGCATCATCAATTCGCCTCACCAGCATCAGAGCGCCCGCCGCGCCACGCCCAGGGCGGAAGCCAAACTGGGATGATCTCATTCTTCGTTCTGACCCTCCTTGCACAAGACGGCGGCGCATCATCGAAGGCGAAGTGTTGCACCCCACTGCCAGCAGTGAAATCGGCCTGTAGTTGCTTGGAAGGGTTGCGTCGCCTTTCTTGGGTAAGAGAACGACGTTGGCTCTCTTCCATTCCGTTGGGATGTCTTTCGTTGCCCAACATTTGTGACATCATGCGTAATAAAAACGCTGAGCATGTTTCGCCGCTGTTGGCAAGTAGTTTCCAAATTTCTGGCGGCGCATCATCGGGCCCGGCCGCGTTCCCCCGTTTCCTTTTTTCGCGAGGCGCTCCGCAATTCTCCTACAGAGAGATTCGATGTGTCAGTTGGGAGCGCGTCTCCCATCTTCATCGTTGTCTCTGGAGCCAGATCTGGAAAACGCACTTGCCACTGAACATGTGCAGAGTATCTGCTAGCGCGTCTGGTCGGCCTGCTGTCTCCGGCAACTGTCCTGTAAGATCCTTGACTACTCCAGCGTGTGTTTTGCGGTCGTTTCTTCCTCGATTGTGCGACCGTGCTCCAATGCCCCCCAACCAGTGCGGCGTTGGTCCAATTTGACCGGTCTCGTCGCGCGGCTTGTCGGATCTTCTTGTTCAACGCCTGCTCGTCTATGAATCCCCGTTGTTCGGCATGCGTTTATCAGTCAGATCCAACGCATGTTGAGATACCAAGGACGCCTTGCTGCAGCGCGCCTGGGCATCAGAGAACACGCAGCGGATGAGAAGGCCTGCCCCGCCGCCCCGGCCACGTCATCCAGGGGCACCCCCAAAGCAGCATCGCCCCAAGCCAGCGCAAACTTTGATACAACATCTCGTTGCACGCCCGGCCCCTTCTAAGATGAAACGTCTAAGCGCGGCGGGCGGGCTTCGTTGCGATTCTGAAACTGGAACGCACTGGCCGCCATGGTCAGGAAATGGCGGCTATTTAGGGCCGCTCTTCGATGGGATCTGCAATCCAATACCCATGGCAAGACTGAGGAATTTCATGAGATATGGTCGATGTGTGAAACCGCTCAGGACAGATAGGGCCCATCGGAGCAACTCCCAAATCCCTGCGCGCGATGCGCTCGTCTTCCGGCGCATTGAAGAATGCGCTCGCGATCGCCACGTCGTTGCCGCGGCAGCATTCCAGCAGAAGTTGGCGATTGGAGACCTGCGTGGCGGTGCGCTGCGCAAATGTCCCAAGATAAACGCGGTTTCCGATAACATGCTCTTCGCCCTGGCTCTGGATCGACAGTCTTGCATTGAAATCTCCGGAACCATAATAGCGCTGCGCGGCGTCGTCGGCCGGACGCGCGCGCCCAGGTAGGAATAGAAGTCGCGCTGGACGCTCTCGCGACGCCCACTGCGCGGCGCGCAAGCGGTGATGGTGGTTAGCACCCCGCCAACAATCTTCATTCTCAGGGAGGCGAGTCTCGGGGAAGAGGCATGGAACGCAACCGATAATATTTTGGCCCATGGTGCAACAATACAGCCAACCCTGGCATCTGAACGCCCATCTGTATCAAGTTCCCCTGACAAGCACATCAGAAAACCATATTCATGTGTGATAATCAGTTCCACGCACGTGTGTCTCTTGTATGCATAGTATATAAATGTTCTGCTTTGCCATCGCGCCGAATACCTCTGCGAGCTTAACCTGCGAATCCCCCCTCAGACCTCCCACGCTCCAGGAGCCCAATCTAACCCTCGAGGTCGACAGTCGCGCCGAGCGAGGCCTGCCCCATGAACTTCGCGGTCGCGGGGCGGATGGAATGGAAGACGGCGCATTAGCAGAAGCGAGCGATGCATCATTGCCGGCCTCGCCAGACAAATCCAATTCAAACGCTGCCCCTTCGGAGACAACTACTGATGACGCGAAAACGCTTCCAAGAGAAACGCGTTGAGGCTTGTGGCCGAAATTTGAAGTATAAGCAAATGCGGCAATGGTATATTTGCCAATTCCCGGATCAGCCCCTGGAGAAGACGAGGAGAAAACATCAAGATCATTGTGAGCATGTGCGAGGGGTCTTTATGAGAACGCCCGTGCAATCCGTGCGCAGCAGTGGGAACTTTGCCAATCGCCGGAGCAGATTCCGAAGTAGAAGAATCTGGAAAAAAAGACTCTCCGAAGTAGAAGGGTGCCCCCCGCCGCTTCAAAACCTCGGGTTTCGCAACATTGTAAGTGCACGAAAAAGGAAGAGGATAATCGGCCGTGGTCTCTGGTCGTGAATGGTGGCCTTCGGTCGTGGTTCTTGGTCTCTGGTCGTAATCTCCGGTCGTAGTTCGGGGTCTCTGGTCGTGGCCCGTGGTCTCTGAATATGATCGTGGCTCGTGGTCGCGGCTCGCGGCTATGGCCCTCCGCGCGGTATCCTGAATGGTTTTCCGTAGTATAGCGCGCAGTATGGATTGCCGCCAAATGCGGCCATGCCCACCCGCCCACACGACCATACAGATTTAGCCCATCTAACCCCACCGCGCCCGAACAACCCCATCGATCCCAAGAAATCCGCAACGCGTTCCCGTGTCCAGCGGTCGAGGATCTCACCAATTGGTTCGTTGAATGCCCTCGGAGACCCGTGCAAGTTGATGAACGCATGCACACGTCGTGGTAATGGCGGAAATAAACATCGGCGCGCGCGCCGGAAATCTCTCAATATGTCAAGTTGCTGTTTTCCGATTGCAGCGCATTTGAATCTCTTTTGGTTCACAGAGCTCAGCGTTGAGATGGCGCGATCGCTGTTTTCAGAATGCGTTGCCCTGAGCGCGCGCGGGCGCGCGCATATGGCCCACATAGCACGGCCCACCTTAGATTCGCAACGTAGATAAGCACATGTCCACCGCGCAGCATCGCTTGAAAAGGGTCAGGGCTGTGCCTGGGCCAGGTACAGGGAATCACCGCGCTATCTTAGTTCACAGGTGCGGGCGCGGTGTCCACCACATTCTCCGAAGCACTAGAGGTCGAGCCCCAGCTGAACAAGGCGGAGCAGCGCGTTGCATCAATCCACAAGAAGGATGAAAAGTGCGAATAAGACATGCGAAACCGCAAGCGAAAAATCAGATTCAGATGTTTTGTTGATCGGCAGCGCCCACCCCCCACCCCCCGCCCCCCGAAAGCCGTCACGCGTGCAGATGTGTAATTGCGATGGTGCGCCGTGGCGCACGCGCGCCGAAAATGCGGCAGCATGTTACGTCGATAGGACGCAGTTGCACGATTATGTTTGCGAGCACGCGCGAGCACGCACATGGCCCGCATTGCACGTTCAAAGGGACGCGCTTCATATGCGGGAGCTTCCACCGATGGGGACGATTTGGAAAGGGTCGTGCTCTGGCCA